TTAAATATCTATCTACTATACCAACAATAAGAGATATATATAGTCTTGTAAAGACCCGAGCATACATCAAACTCCCACTGAGTTTATGATACACACAATTATCAACAACTTTCGTCTCAAAACCAAATGAGATTACTACTTGATGAAATTTATGGTACCACTGACGAGATGTCTGTTTGAGTCCATAGATGGATTTCTTTAGTTTACAAACCATTTTCTTCTGGTCATCGACCTCAAAACTTTCTGGTTGTACCATATGGATCGTTACATCAATGCCGCATTGAGAAACGTCGTCTTTATATCCATCTAATGAAATACAAGATCAAAATGTGCTACTGATGCCATAAGATCACTTTCTTTCAAGTCATTATTGCCTTTATTTTCTTGAAGAAAGCATAATCATCCAAAATGTTATTTCTTTTATCTCAAGTTTATCTCCTTAATGGCACAAATTATTGAGGTTGTTGAGTTTGTTCATCCTGAATAACCAAACTAGTTTGAGTTGAGAGATTCTTGACATTATCTTGTTGAGGTTCCAAATCTACTTCTCGACGGATTACAGGAATAGAGACCTTAACATTGTCAGAAGCAGTAGTAGAAATCGGAAATGATTCTTCCTCAAAGATAATGTCCTTAGCCTTATTTCTCCCACTAAACTCAACATCCTAAAAAAAATATCCATTTCCCATCTCAAATATAGATCTTTAGTGGGATAAAAAAAAATAATAATAATAAAACCCTTAACCTTAGGAATGTTGTTGGTATTAGCAGAGATATAAGTACCAGATGTCATAACTTAACGGAGAATAATAATAATTTAATCAACATGCTCACATCAATCATACAAATTTAAATAAGCTTAGTAACATCTCAAGGCACCTAGCACAACATAAATATCAAGTCTTTGGACAATAATATTAATTTGTAAGTGGTCGCCTTTGTGTAGTAATCAAATATTGACAAAACTCCTGTCAAATAATAGTCTTTCTTTTGAAAAACATATTATTCACATGTATATAACTATATATTGTCACATATTTATTACCACAAGTATTAATATATTTCTGCCCAGTATTAATCTTCCTTTGGGCCGACTAAATACTCGCATGAAAATATACAAATACAAACATCTAAAACCTTTGACAAATAAATCTACTCAAGAGAGGTCACTTTTGCAACTTCTTGT